ATCCGCTCAAGCAATGAATGTATACCAAAGTGATTTTAAGTGGTGAAATCTGATTATAATAATGTTGATGTCCTGTTTTGGGTATTTGCTCTAGTTATATTAGATACTACTAGTGTAGAAATTTGAGCAATTGGTGCAAGGAAGTTCCCCTTCCTGTTACTATTGCTACTTTTTGTCAAATAATACTCAATTCAAAAGAAAAAGTGAAAGTGTAAAGATATTAACAGATGTCAGTTTGTTTATTCCTCTTTGTTAACACTAGCTGTCCTCATTTTCCTTGATTCTTATTTCTCAGCTACACCGTTACTTCTCTTACTAAGGTCACATTCTCTGATAATCTTCAAAAAAATTTTCTTTTTAACATCAGTGGTGGTAAATTCAGAAATGATTGATGTAATAAATGTTTTCAAACAAAGCTGATCTAAGACATCAGTTATCTTGATACACTTATTTTTGCTGATACTGGATTCATAGAATGTCATCCACATTCTAATTGGTAATAGTTCACAAGAAATTCGCTCTTAATTTCATGGTAATGCAAAGTGAACCAAATACGTAGATCAGTGATGGACTTTTCATAAAAGCTTATTTGAAGAAATTAAAAAGTTAAACTCAAAAACCTAAAGAAGGGTATCCACAACTTCCACTGTTCATCCTCTTAGATTTTTAGTGTCTTAAAGCTTGCTTGAGATAATCAAAATTTCCATTTTGTTCCTGGTGAAATGGATGTCACTCCAGTATCCAAATTGAGCCCCAACTGATTTCAGTTAACTTGAGCATTTCATCCACTTACCACTATAATTATATCCAGCTTCAACAGCTTATATTTCTTGGGAGAATGAGGAAAATAAGCAGCACACGTTAGAATTTAGATTAATTTATTTAAACTATATACACTTCAAAAACAGATGAAACCAATCTATGGTATTAGAACCCAAAGAAAGAAATGGTTATACCTGGAAGTTGAAGTGAGGACTGGTGTTAACACAGGGGAGGTTTCCATTCTCTTCAGCTGGGTCTAGTTCCATGAGTGGAAAATCTGAGAAATTAAGTTCTGTCACTACTTCTTTTCAATGTGTGTTGTATATTTTATTTAAAAGGGTGGCATGAATGAATGTTTGTTGATTTTTTTCTTATTTAGATTCTCACATAAACATTTCTCTTATCTATCACTTTATAATAACTGCACTTTAATGTTTCCAAGATATTCAAATTTTAATTTTTTTATGAGGTCTTTTTTCATTTTTCTCAAACCTGTCACTCCTTCGTCTGTGACACTGTCTGGTCCTGTGTGAAGTAGGAACAGATTCATGTCTTACCTCAGTTCCAATAAGAAAAGTGTCCATACATAGCTAGTGAATCTGTGATTTAGAATTTCACTGTATTTCAGCTGTGGAGTAGAGATGAATCAATGTACATGAAAACTGTTACTACACAGTTTCCTTTGGGAGATGCTGAATAATATTTCAAAATTATTTAAACATTTACTTTGATTGTTAGACATTAAGTGATGTTTTGAACAGATTATGTGATTATTATATGTAAAATTTTCAGCATAAACAATAAGTCATCATATAATTTGCTATAATTTTTATAAAATGCAAATTTTTACAAAGCATATAAAACTTTTGGAAAACATAATAATAAAAATAGGTAATAATAAAGGTACTTCTCTTTTTTTTTCTGCAACTAAGAATCATGTTTTTGCTTGAGTGACAACAGTGTGTCCATACCTGTTCCTGTGATATTTCATTTTCATGCTTAACAGGTTCATATTTTGTGCTTTAGGTGGTGAGAGATAAATAAGAGCATCACAATTCTAACACTTGGCTTTAATGTGTGTAAAATATCATCCACTTATTGAACAACTACTGAGCTTCTTGAATCACAATAATGTTAAGTCGTCTGTATCACTTGTCTTGAAATAATGTAGATTTTCCACATCTCTGAAATATTAAATGGAATCTTCTTAGAGGTCTGAATACAAAAATAGGTATTCTGAATACCAGAAGATAGGGAAAAAGTCCTGCTCTGGCTTCTTTCAATCTTGACTGTCCCGCTACAGGACCAGCCACCCTCTCCCACAATTTCACTGGATTCAGGTGTCAGGAGGAGTGAGCTCTACCAATGTTGCTGGTCACATTTCTGTTGTCAGCTCTTCTTGGTAAAGGCAGGTGAGTGGTGGTTTACACTCCATAAGTAAATGGCTATATATATATATGTAAGGAGATTGAAGTTCAGTGGTTACCAGGGCGTTTACTATTCAAAATATAAGTTGCCCAGAGTTGCTTAGCACACATGAATACTTGTATCTTTATGTATCTGGGTAGCAGGGTTGGGGTTCATTTTATATGATTAATTCTATTTCCAGCAGGGCTTTGGGGTCCCCCTTCCAACCTGTGACTTGGTCAGACATTCATGCAGCCCCAATTATGGAGGTGCTGAGCTTCTTTTTATATTTTTTTCTTCTTAGATTCTTTCCCAGCTCATCATAAACTTAGCTCATGGCTAAGTTTATCTTGTGGATTATAAAGATTATTGGACAGAACAAGAAACATAGGTGTTCATCTGTTAACTAGTGTGTCTGATCTTGCTGCAAAGGTGTCATGGAGAGCTGAGGCCAAAGGACCAGGACTGTAGTCTATCATGTGTTGGGGATTTCTCCTAGGTGCTTTTGCTTTTTAGGTTGGAGTTTTAGATCTGACATAGGCCATTCACCATTCATAGACTTTCACTGAAGGTCAAACTCAGGATGTGAAAAGTGAGAGAGGAAACAAATCAGAATAATAATGATTCCTTTTCCCCCAGTTCACCCTGTCAGTTCAAAACATTGAGTGTTCCCGTGTCCATGCAGATTTCAGACCTGTATGCATTAGTACTGGTATGTGTGTGTGCACACAGACACACTGACATCCATACACAGTCACACATTTTCTGCTTTCATTATCATTTACTTACTGCACTATCACTTCTTACTGCTCAGTGCAGTAAGGAACATCCCGTTAGCTGTTTTCTTATGAAAAATTCAAGTCTATTTGATTGCTCATTCCTCTGCTTTTACAAGACAGTGAACTATGTCAGTGTGTACTTTAGCTTATTGTAATGAGTATTATATAAATTTTTATTTATTTTTAATTTTTTTTAAAGATTTATTTATTCATACAGAACTGGGATTCAAGTCAGAGGGGTGGTGAGAGTATTCACCAGAGACAGAATGGGGAGCA